TTTGAGTTTGAAGGAGTTTTGAGAGAGATAGAAAGACGATGATATGAGAGATTGATGGAATTTGGGTTTTACAGAGAAATGGAGTTTTGAAAGAAAGAGAGAGAAGATAATGTGAAAGTGAGAGATGGAGTTTGGATTTTAGTGAGAGATGGAGTTTTGAGAGAGAGTAAGAGATAGAGTTTTAGAAGGAAATATAAAGTCAGTTCATAAATTGTTGAGGTCATTAATACATGATCACAAAGGTTTAAAGGGTTGAAAGATAGAAAAAATAGAATCATTTTGCTTACAAGTAATATTGTTAATTCTTGAATCTAATGAAATATAGAAGTTAAAACTAAGAGAATAATAAGATGATTTTTCTATATAATACTTGTATATCATAATATATACACTTTTATTGGTTATGCACAAAGTCCAAATCAAATTTCTCAAATATTATTACTCTTATATTTATCAGATTTCACATCGAAATGGCTAAAAATAATTATGACCTTCTTATACCAAAAATAAAAGACCTTCTTATACCAAAAATAAAAAATAAAAAATAAATAGTCTTGTAGCATACAATCTCTATCTGTATAATCATCGCTGGGTAAAAGAAAATTTGATTTTATGCTCTTAAAGGGCTTGACCTGGCCAAACATGAAATGCAAGACTTTGCTTACTCACGGGATGCAAAATCAGATCAACCTGTGGACCCAATGAGGTCCGGGTCTAGACCCAAACACTCCGACAGGTCAGGTCTGAGTACACAAACCTTGACATGATCGTTTCCAAGTCCGGGTTTGGGTCCAACCTGGATCGTGTCAGGTTGGGTTAGGTCTAGGTCAAAGCTAACCCCAGCGAATTATAATAGAATAAACTACATATAAATAATCCTAATTATATAGATATAAATTATATTATATATTTTTATTTAGAGACTCAAACCTGGCCCGACCCAATCGGTCGGGTCTTCGGGTCCAATCGACTTGGACACATACCAGGTCCGGGTCCAACTTAGACCTAGCTCACCAAATTCAAAAGGGGATTTTTTCAATTTATTTTATGAGCTTCTTCGTTGCTTCCAAGAGAACGTGTTTGGGCCCCAAAATTGGGAGATGAGCTCGCCCCCTTGAGCTAACTAAGTTGATAGAAGACACGGCTTCCACCAATCAAATGCGTTCTTATAGATGAAGAATGCAGCAATAAGAAAAGATGGATCAATTACATATAGCATTTGAAGGTGCCAAGGGTATTTAAGGACCAACTTGCATGCACTATCCTCTCAAAGGAAAATGAATACTGCCTCAAAATCCATAATTAAACAAGTAACACCTGCAACTCTACAACATTTCTTACCTCTTTCCACCATTCAACCACATTAGCAGACACTTAAAGCTCTCTCTCTCTCTCTCTCTCTCCACAAGGAACATACACTACCAAAAAAAACGACCCATTTAGGACAAACCCACCATAGGCTTAGGCCTTCCATGGATCACTCTCTGCTCTCACCTCCGAGGGCTCCACGACTTCAACTTCATCAGAGCCGCCTTCAGCCTCCTCTTTGGATTCAGCTTCAGAGGTGGCTATGGCTTCCTCACCATCTTCCTCTGCTCTTCCCCACCTTCCACCAAGTGCAATGGACATCATCTCATAAATTTTGTTACCCAACTCTGCCGGACTATCAGGCTGCATCCAAAGGAAAAAAAACAGAAACACAACGATCACTACACTCAGCATATTTAAGAAGACATCAACACGTATATTATCATGCATACATATGAACATACATGCTACCTACATACAGAGGCATGTGCATGCACGTATAAACATTAAATACCAGCACACATGCACACACACAGACTCTCCATAAGTGTCCAATAAATGCTGAATAGGTCAAGAAAAATACTCAGTTAAGAATAGCCTAACATAACACACACACACATATATATACTACATTAGTTTTTCAAAAGCGAAAGACAAACCCCACCAACACAGGCAAACAAGTGAAAGTAAATGCCCTCAAAACATGTCCGGCATATATGATTTCCAAAACCGGTGCCCTATTGGCGGCTCTATTTTCTTTAAGGTGGGGTTAGCTTGTTCAAATAAAAGAAAAACCTTCAAACCCTCACCTTCATGCAATCTGGTTGTACACCAAGGTACGAATCTCACAGTTCTAGTGGACAAAAAGCACATGGATTGAATGGATGAACCCAAAGCCAAATGGGTCCAGATCCACATTAAAACACTCATGCATGTAATATTAATTATTAATTATATTATGGATCTCACGACGTGTCAATGAGGCATGCCCATAATAGATTTCCACTCCATCCATCCAATCCAGGATAGGCATCCACAGCGCATGCATAAATATGAGTATATAACACAAGAACGGGGGAAGATGGTTTACAGCACCTACCGTGAATCCACTGGATATCAAGGCGGTATCATACAAAAGGTCTACAGCCCGACGAGCTTCACTGTCGTCCGGGTCGTATTTGCAAGCAGCCTGCAAGTATCACGATAATAAGGAGCTAAATTCTATTGGTTTAACAGACAAAAGACCTTATTTCAAAGGATTGCATGACAATGAGTAATAAAATCCTTCTGATTTGGATCCACAACATTGCTACAGTTCCCTGAAATAGCATGATAAGGATGAATTGAAGTACACATAACATTGCCCAATGGCTTGGGGAGCCACATGGGCTTTAAAGTTATTCATTGAATCAAGAGAATACAGATAATTCTCATAGAGACACCTGATCATCAAATCTGAGGACCATTAGTGCATCATAGCATTTTAAAGGGAAATAGCTACTTTATTACAAGAAACAACCTTGAGACCACTTACTATTGTTACAAGGAGGTCACAATCACTCCTAGCCATTAGATATCAAATTAGATGGAACTTTTGAGTCTAGTTGATGGCATCCTTACATCCACCCAATTTGAACGTAAATGGTCTCTTTGGAAACTCTCTCTCTCT